GTGTGTGTGTGTGTGTCTCTCAGTGTGACGTGTTGGTGGAGCAGTATGAGGAAGTGATTGAGGAATGGTACAAAGGAACCCAGGAGGAAGACCTGACCACTTACCTGTGTGAGAAACATGTTCTCAAAGGACAGGACAAAGGTAACACACACACACACACATTTTAGTTTTCCTATTATCTTTCTTCTTACTCTTTTCATTTTTTCCCCCATTTATCCACTTTTTACTTTTTCTACTACCTTTCTACAATATCATTCATAGAAAAACCTTCTCTTAAAGTCACATAGAATGAAACTGTAAAATAGTATTTTTGTTTCCACACACACACACACACACACACACACACTCCGCTGGTTGCCGTGTAGCTTATTATTCCTTCAGTGGATGACCTAATCAAATACAACTTTGCTTTCGGATTCAGCAACGAGGGAATACAGACGAGTTTAGCTCAGAATCACCATATTATCCTCCACGCAATAGTATCCATTAATCAGAAGTAAGCAGCGATATCAACAAACGTTATCACCTCAACCAAATCAGTATGTTTTTTCTGAATAGTCTGGATGCTTATGATGATATTCTGAAGCGATGTGGTTCTTTGACTAAAGGAAATGTACAACTTTAGCCCTATTTACATGGGACTGGTGTTATCAGGCAATCTGATGTGATTTGTAATAATTGAGGAGCATGTATGTGATCTTAATCCCGTGGGAATTTACCATGTCTGTAATTTGTAAAATTAAAACGCATACAGGTCATGGATGTATTATATTATCTGTATAATATATGTAACATTTCTAAGACACATTTTTTGGCACCATAACTGAGGAACAGAAGGAGAGATTGAGACCATATTTCATATATTTAGTCAGACACTAAAAACCACTCAAAGGTCCAAGGTTATCGTGACGTCAGAATAGGTTTTTAGGCACAATTAACTGGATGATTCCAGATCTCACACACGTGTTGACTGGAATGGCATAATGAATAAACAATAACTAGCAGTTGCCTCATTGTGAATTTCCAAACATAATCTGAATCACAAGATTACAGAGAACATATGATTATATAGCTATACTCCATAAAGGTTTTCATCTTTACATAGTCATCAAGTACGTGTGTATCTGTTGATAATCATTAATCACATGTACAATCGATATAGTGATAACCTGTTTATATCAGTCTTTACCTCATCCTTCCTTCCTTCCTCCATTGGTTCTGTTTTCTCCACCATTTATTTGTCCCGTTCTCCTCGTGTTCCTCCGTTCCAGCCTGCCTGAGTGAGGATTGGTCAAGGGGGAAGAAGAAGGGAGACCAGGCCGCCATCGCAGAGGACAAGAAGAAGAAGAAAAAGAAGAAGGGAGTGAAGAAGGGAAAGGGCAAGAGTGAGGAGGGAGAGGAGGGAGGGGACGTCAGCTCGGAGGGAGAGAAAGCGACGAAGAATAAGAAGGAGAAGAAGGTGAAGAAGAAGAAAAAGAGCAAAGCCCCGGTGGAGAAGATGGATGGAGGGATGTCGTCGGATGAGGAGATCCAGCCACAGACGCCTCTCTCTGGGCAGAAGACGGAGCTGTGAGGACCCCGGTTCCTCGTCTGGACCCCGAATCAGCTCGTCTAAACAGAAGTAAACTCTTAGTAAAAGCATTCTGCAGCTTCTTTAAAATGTCTTCAACTGTTGTCAAAAACTGAGGGTCTGAGACGCTGAATATGCTGAATCAGATCTTGTACTGTTACAACCCGGGTTTTAAAGTCTTTATTTCAGTTTCTGTCAGTCTGAAACGGTCTCAAACTGTTTTTTAATGGGCAGGGGGATTTGAATGAGAGATTAAACTTAATGCAATTTGCAGACACCCTTAATAACTTAATATCTTCACTTAAGAGTTTTTCCAGTTTATTACAACTTGGTTGTTATTTTTGTACTTTTTGCCATTGTTTCTATTGGTTCTGATAATGATAATTCTGATAGTATTATACTCCAACAACAACAACAACAACAACAGTCTAGTTAGTGGATTAATCATTTGGTAAGCAAAAATAATTAGCTGTATTTCACAGGTTTATATGATTTTAAATTTAATATCTTTGGGTTTTGGATTGTTGGTCTGACACAAAAAGCAATCTGAGGACGACACCTTATCCCCAAATTCCACCGGGCACGCATCCCAGAACCAACTCGGGTCAAGCGTTGCAGAGCAGATCACACTGACTCTGAAATCAGACACAGAAACAGCACAGAGAATCCAGTCAATTTCCAAAATAAAATACTACGTTTAGACTCAAAATCGAATTTTTCGTTCACCATCAACACTGTGGCACCAGGCCAGGAGTCAGTCAGTCAGAGGAGCTTTGAGGTGGAGAAACACTGTTTTGTATTGTTATTCAGGACAAAATACACAAGTAAACAACACGTTCTGCTTCTAAAATGCTCTCGGTGGGATTTGAAGACACATGGATCACGAGGCCACACCGGCGCCACAAAGCCATGCCCGGTGGAATTTGGGGTTAGGAGCTGTGAACTTGTGATTGGAATTCTTTTATTTTGACATGTTATCAACTCAATAACTTATCAATTAGTTACAAAATCATTAGTTGCAGTCCTAAAAAACACCATAAGATTTTATCTGATTTTGCTTTTAGGTGATTTTACTACAGAAAGTGTTCGACTCCACTTTATAAACCACTGTGTTAGACACCTTCAGTGCTGTATGCCAACATACGTTTTACCTGTCAGTATGTCACATGATATTTTGGAGAACGCGGCGCTCAGCAGAGCTCCAGATTGACGAGGGAGTTTTCTTTCAGTTGAATGTTGACTTTCCATGCTGTATCTCCTCCTAATGTGAATCTGAGTGTTTGTTCACAACTTATGCTGTTTTTTTAAAAGTCTTGTGTTTACCGAAATATTCATTCCACCTGAAAACTAGTTGACACAATAGAGAACTGCTTTTCCTTGTTATAATAATATTTTAATATTTCAAAATGTTTGATATCAGTAGAGGAAACTGCAGAATTCCCTTTTTAACCATCTCAAGTCTCAGATTCAATGAAATTCTCCTTTTTAATTAGTAAATTCAACATAAGGTACCTTTTGTTTTTTCATTCGTGTTTCTGTTATTGTTTCATTTTTTATAATTTTCCATTGATTGTGTTGTGTCTGTGTGTGCGCGCTGTACAAAAGCTGCTATTTAAGGTGTGTTTGTGTGTGTTTGTTGGTTCCCGAGCTGATGATGAAAGTGCGTGTGTGTGTGTTTTTACAGATTTTTATTCTGAAGTGAAACGCCAGCTGTGTTGTATTGAAGTTGCTTTTTGAAACCATGAGCAGACGCGTCAGTGGATCAATAAACACAGGTTTAAAAACTCTGTAAACGCATTCGCCAATGACTGATCATTTCCAAGTTTTTCCTGTTTAGTATATTTTTATTACACCATCTCCTCAAAGTAAGTTCACTTCCTCACAACAGCTGCTTTATCAAAACAATTCCACTTCCTTTTGCTTATACTATATGTGGATTTATTTGTTTTTAATGGTTCAGTGTTTGAAGTAACAATGTGGGTGAAATGTGCACTTTAAACCAGTAGAGGGAGGCAGAGTTGTAGACTTAGTGCACAGTTAACTTTAGCAGCAGTTATAGTTGTAATAAAAATGAATTTTAATTATATTGTGGCTTGATTTAATGCCTAAAGTTGAAATAGATTTTTTAATAAAATACTTTTTCAAACCACAAATCAGTCTATCATTGTAGGGATCACATATATGAATGTGTTTTTATATGAATGCATACTTTTAACTTTACAAGAATAAGCTTTTATAGATAAAATGTAGCACCTTTTAGTTATTTTAAAACCCAGCTTTGGATTTTTCTACAGTTTTTTTTCAGAGTGGAGACGAGCTGAATGAATGAATACAGGTAAGGGACACCGGGGCCAATTATAGGGTTTATAATAACTTAGAGATGAATTTACACTCTACAATTACCCACATTTTGCAGGACTGTCTGCTCAGCTTCTGTGTGCAGCGCCTCTACAACCTCACAGTGAGGCACTCTGGGAGGTCAATGCGGCTGTTTACAGAAATAACTCCAGCACTTAACTCCCCATATTACCACAACTTGTATTTTTTTACATTTAGTTTGTGTACGAATGAATAAAACAAGATACAACAAGGCAGGGATAGAGGGTGGTTGGTAGGTGTAAACTCAAATATATATAAATAAATTGGCAAAAATTATTAGAATTGTTTTGTTGTTTTATAATTGAATTTTAAAAATATTAATTTTATTTTATAAAGCCTATACAGTATAAATGCTTATTATATGATGATTAATGTTTTGTATACATGTTTTGGAAGTTGTATTGAATGTCTATTGTCTTGATAAAGTTATTTAAAATTCTTTAAATAATATTTGGTGGTAAATTCACCACTTTTAGCTGTAGAAATATATGCTAGAATAATTAATAATTAATAAATATATTTTATATGTCGATGGCTGGGATTCAAAATTCGGCATGCATAGCAACCGTAACTAAGGAGGCGGGACTAAGTGAAGTCAAAGGTCAACAACAGGGACGCAGAGAAGAAGGCTGGTTTAAAGCTAATGCAGCTGCTTCAGACATGGAAACAACGTTTATTAAGTCTATTAAGAGTTAATGTGGTAGTTTATTTA